GTGTCAGGTGGCCGCGGGCACTGTGTGGCAGCGCAATGGCCACTCTGCCCTACACAACTGTTCTCGGCCCCTCCCCTCACTTTTCTCCCTATTTTTTCCACCCTCCGCTTAAGCCCAAGAGGTGCACCCAGCTAAGCGCCTAAAGATGCACAAGGTGGCTGGCACGCAGTCAATGCGTAATGGCAGAACCCCCCTGAGCGGAAAAAAAGAATATAGCAATGCCGGGTCTCGCCATCGTAGTTACCTTGGTGCGATGAAGCCAGGTGTGTCTGTAGCAGGATACGGCAAGAGGTCAGCAATAGAAGAACGAATGAGCAAACGTCCCAGGTGGGGCCACCTAGGCTTACTTATATGCACGTTTAGGGCCGCGCATCGGCACCACCCCACCCCACCCACTTCAAATTCATATGCCCTGACTATTCATCAGCCCACTTAACCGCGCTGGTGACTTTGCTGAGAATGGATCGCGTGGCCCAATTGGCCTACTCAAAAAGTCGGATGCAGTGATTTTCGCAGTCACACGATGAGATCCCTCGCGCGGTAAAATAATTATCAGGGCCACCAGTTCATAGGTCTTTGTGAGGGCGAGAACAAAACGGGAACGTATTCACACGGTGAGGGGAAGTAAAGGGTGCTGGCAAAAACATAACACTTTTGCCAAGGCCTGTCAATCACTACGAGTACCAGGGATGGCTGGCCTATCGACATGTTGACTACAGTCGCCATCGCTCAACCAAGCAAGGGCAGCCAAGGATTTCAATAGTATGTGTTCTAATAGCGCATTTGAGTGAAATTCTTATAAGCGCAGTTGGTTTAGTGGTATAATTACCGCCTGCCACGCGGTAGACCCGGGTTCGATTCCCGGACTGCGCATTTTTTTCCAGCTGGAGGCCTCTTTTTATTTCTCGAGTGTGACGGTTCAAAGTCGTTTTGGGTTGGGTAGCACTCACTGTGCCATCGCCAAGTTGTTACAGAGGCATTGAGGCAGCTATAGTGTACACAGGGGCGGCAGTCTCCATTTTTGCAAGGTGGGGAGTAGTCGGTATGCTAAACCACAGACCTAGGCCATACATCCGACAGCCGTGACTGAAAAAGGTTGGGGGTGGACAGCAATCTCTGGTGATGAATACACACAACTGTAGGCCCTGTGATGCTATAGGTCACCAATCAGTACAGTGAGTCTATCAAACAACATTTATTACCACATGATACTACCAAGAATACAAGAGCTACGTAATGTGCAAAGGCTCAGATAAAAAAGCCAATGAAATCCCACTTAATGTCAATAGAACCAAGTCCTGCACAGGTCTGACCACAGTGATCCTAAAAAATGCCAGCATAGCGAGTTTGGGCTCAACAACAGTAGTAAATGTATGAAAAAGAGGGTGGCTGAAACTTGGTTGCTTCAAGATGTCTCCATGATTTACTCCCCCTTGAGTGGTGATGCCGGCGAGTCCTTGTCTATCATGTTCCAGTCCGTATCTGGCTCTGTAGGTTGGGCAGTGGCAGTGGTGGGTGATTGAGCATTGGGTGATGCGTGGTCAGTCGGTTTAGCCATGGGTGCAGTTGTCGGGCTACGGCTGTTGCCCTTATCAGGGTCCAAGGAACTCGCCTGGTTGGGCTCAGGCGATGTAGTCGTAGGTGCTGCCACATTGGGCGAGGCAGTGGAGGCCAAGGGTGAGGTCTCCTCCTTGGCCAGATTGCGCAGAGCTTGCGCTGACTGGTTATCGGCTGATTGCTGTTCCTCATCCATCCACTGGTCAGTAGCGCTGGGAAGAGGGTCGGGAATGACCTGAGCAGGAGAAGGGCTCACAATTTTACCGGGCTTGACCATCACCACGGATGCCCGGGCTGCGCCTGTAGCATTCGATGGCTCGATATGCTCTGAACTGGCGGTTCGCCCAGGCAATGTGGGTGGGGTTCCGGTGGGCAACTGGGGCTGATGCCGAGCGCCATCGGTGCTACGGCGGGGCAGTGGAGGAGGGGGACCATGGAACGCCTCGTCTTCCTCGTCTTGGATGATCCGACTGTGATATGCTCCACCGCTGCTGGTACCACCATAGTTCGAGTTTCCGGGCACGGGACGGGAGGGATCGTGGTTGTCTTTGACGGCTTCGTTGATCCTGTGGGACACTTGGCCCCATAGGCCCTGCAGTTTGACCCACGATGTTTCAGTAAACGCGGCGACCTTGTCGATGAATTCAGGTGACTTGCGACCGTGGCGTGGGCCAGTGGGTTCGTTGCCAGAGCCCATATTGTACCGGCCCTGTTGAGAGTACAATGGCCGCTGGGGCAGTGGAGGCTGACCACTGGCCTGTTGCTGCTGGGCCCACTGCTGTGCTTCGTACTGCTGTCGCTCTTGGTCCTCCAGCTGCAGCGCCAACTCGAGGTCGCGAGCAATCTGCTCGTCACGGCTGGTGTCGGCTGCATTGGCGGGGGCGTCATGCGTAGCAAGACTGAGAGTACCTTGGCTAGCCCTGGGTGGCTCCTCGGGGACAGCGTGGGGCGCAGGCCCTGGGGCCGTGGGGCTCAATGCCTCCTTGGTGCTCTCCTCGGTTTCCTGGGTGACCAACTGCGGCGACCGACCTTCCACTGGCGGGGCCTTGGCGTTTGCTACGGCAACTGGCGAAGGACCTGTAGTTGTATCTGCGGAAACCGTGGGCTGGTTGGTCGGGGGAGACGACGGACCAGACCCATCCGAGTCGTCCGGACCAGCCATTTCGAGTAGGACGTTGATAGCGTTGTTGAGGTTGCCTTGTTGGGCGTGTAACACCGTTTCGCGTACGTCGGCGTCCAAATTGGGGAACATGCGCGAGAGAATTTGAAGGTTCTGCTGGAATGTGTCGGCCATGGTGGGCAGCAGGGCCACTTTTGGGCACGAGGGCGGAGCGTTAGAGACTGCGGTGTGAGAACAAGAGGGGAAGGCGAGGACTCAGAGGAGAAACAGATGGCGAATTAGGAGCAAACCGTCAGCACCGAGGCGACCAGGGGCTGAACCAAGGGCGACAAGTGAAACTGACTGTTCACAGGCGCTATGGCCAAGGAGCAGCTGGAAAGGATGGCGAGTCGAAAGAGAGCAAAGGGCAACGACAGCACCACCGTGTCAGCGATTTGTTTGAACGTAAGTGCGTTGGTGTGAAGAAAGGACAAGAAACAAAATCGATAGAGCCTGGCAGTGAGGCAAATAGAGGCGCTAAAGCTACAGCACAATATAAATAAACCGTCGTTGGGCTCAAGCAGTGCGTTACCTGGGAGAGAGCAAAGTGTGGTTTGGTATATATACAGCTCTTGGACTTGATGGCACCGGACCACCAATGGCACCGGGTGCAACAAAGCCAAGGCTGTGCAACGCAAGCGAATAGGAGCGTTGGGCTATGGTGATTACATTGAGCGAACCAACGACACGGGCTTGGCCATTCCCGCAGCGTCAGCGCGCGCCAAGCCCAACACGGTTTTTTATTCTTTTCTAAAAACCACTCCATACCTTCCATTGTGGGCCGCGTTGCCAAGCTTGGCACATGGTTGGCATGGCGCAGTTGGTCGTTCCAAATTTTCTACCATGTTGCTTGGTGGACGCCAATATCGATCCGCGCTCCGTGAGTGCGAGCCCTGGGTTCGATGGCAGCCCTGGCACAAACGTATGAAAGAAGCCACCGGTGTGCTAGCATCCCCTATAATATAGAGAATTATAGAAGTAAAGTGAAGTGGGAAGAGAAGACAGAAAAGCACAGCAAAGAGTGTTAGTGGTGAGTACAAATAAAACCATAGCACCATT